TAATCCCTGTCCCACCAAACATGCTCGCCCTTTCAGCCGTGGGGGGTATTATAATGTGACGGTCAATCCCACTATTCGTTGGTAAAAGAGTAGCCCAAGAGTTGGCGGTGGGTGGTGATGACTAGCTGCCTTCCCTCTAGTCTTACACTGCTAAATTAGGGACGGCTAGCGCAGATAGCCCTCGTGTAGCTTTGCGCGAAATTCAAAAACAAACAAACAAACAAACAAACCCTTCTAGAATCAGTGGTGTGGAAACGACGTTCCCTTACTTTTTTTTTTGCCGTTACCTCATTATTTCTAACAAACCTTACAAATCTCAAACTTCGTGAAGTTTTGCCTATCTCTAGAAGAAAGAATCACTAATACTTTCATCCAGTTGTAGAAAAGTTATCAAAGTATAATGAACAAAAATATTGCAAAATGAAAAATAAAATGTGTAGTTCTGTTACTATTGATCACAAAGTTCCAAACAACTTATGGTCAGAGTTTATACTTCTCACTTTTTCACATTTATTTTCTGTAGTTATTATATTGTTAGCAACTGACTTAGGAATTCGACGAAACAAAATGAATAGTACTGTCAGGACTTTTGAGTATGGACCTCGAATTTCCAAGGTAAATCTCCTGAGAATTTCTATTTCCAATCTTTTCACACTTAATCCCTAAATGTATTTTACTGTTAGCGGCTGAAGTAGAAACATTTTGAAAACAAAGCAATGAATCACAACTTTTGGCATTAGATTTTTCCCGGCTTCGAAAACACAGGTGTGTATAGTTTATCGGCTTGTTTGTAGTACAGTAATTGCAACAAGCATTGAGTAAAGTACTATATAAAAGTGAGAGAAAATATTTACGATATGGCTGTATACAAAGTCTGATCCAATCCAATAAACTTGTTAGATATTTGAATGTTAGTTACCTCCAAGGATTTAGCGGTATAGGTGTAAAAGTGTATAAGAACTTATGAACATCCTATTTAACCATACTTACACAGTAACCAATAAATGCTTAGTTTCTAGTAATATAAACACGGTCCGTTTTGGCTAATATTTCCAACTTAGCCTTCTTGTTAAGCACTTTATAAACTTTACAGAAAAAGGATATTACTATAGTTTAGGCAGACGAGTTAGGATTCGTTGCAGCATACGGTTTTTAGAAGCAATGAAGGAACATAAGGTTAAAAAGGTCTTAAAAGCAGAGAATGTCATTAAGGGGCCCGGCATGGCCAGGTGGTTAGGGCGCTCGACTCGCAATCTGAGGGTCGCGGGTTCGAATCCCCGTCACACCAAACATGCTCGCCCTTTCAGCCGTGGGGGCGTTATAATGTTGCGTTCAATCACACTATTCGTTGGTAAAAGAGTAGCCCAAGAGTTGGCGGTGGGTGGTGATGACTAGCTGCCTTCCCTCTAGTCTTACACTGCTAAATTAGGGACGGCTAGCGCAGAAAGCCTTCGTGTAGCTTTGCGCGAAATTCAAAACAAACAAGCTATTAAGGAAAAGAAGTTATAATAATGACACTGACAGAGAACAATAAGATTGATTCAATCAGTCATGGTCAAATTTTAACCAGTATCGTAAACAATATGAAACAACGGTTATTCACACTAATTTCTTTTCATTAACCAACTGGGTCATAGTCAGGCACTTCTAATTCCATTTGAAACATAATTTCTGAGCTCCGTACCTTAGAATTCAATGAGTGGCCAGCAGATATAAATCCAGGCTTTGGAGAAAGGGAAATAGAGTCCCTTTGTAAACGTCTCAGATTGCCATTTTCAAAAACAACCACAGCATACAGAGACTTTCTAGACAATTGTGTGCGCCATATTACATCATATTTGAATCCTCTAATCGGGTGTTCAAAAGTCACTCCATGCAGTTCTTCCGAATGCGAAAGAGGCTTTAGAAACACGAACCTTATCACTACGAAAACGAAAACTTGGTCTATACTGAGTTCCTTGGACTTGGCCACTCTTATTCGTGTGTCAGATGCCGAACGATAACACCGAAACCATTTGTATCCATAGTCGCCTGGTTTCCAGTTTTGAATCAGAAGGCCGTGAAGCTAATGAACATGAGATTTTTCACGTGATTGATTAACAGCCTAGATCATAAATTCTGTTAAATAAGTTATCCAGGAATTCAAAAGTTCAAGTTGAGAGAATATTAATTTTTTATTGTAACATTTTCAAATGTAGATTTCAATTACAATTTACAGCTACTATTTTTTAAATATGTTTTTATGTATTGGTGACGTAATAAATACTAATCATAGTAACACTTTCAAAACGCGTTCCCTCACTTCTGTATTTAGCACTACACCACTGCCCAGAATTGTACAGCTTTAAGATGTAAAACACTTGAATGCCAAAAATTATTAATAGTTCGTATAATTCCGTCTTTAAGGTCGTTTCTGTCACTTTGGAGAATGATGTAAGCGATGACATGAACATTTCCGGATAAATATGAAGAATGTAAGAGCCAAAATCAATTATTTTTTTATGGTGTATTTTTTTTCTTTTACAGTTAACACAAACAGGTAATTAAAAAGTGTTTTGTTAGCCTTGAATAAATAGAGTTTCATGATATAAAAACGGGAAAAAAAGAAATTTGGAGATGGTTTTCTGTGTTAGAATTATTATTTTGGCTTCTTATATCGTGATTTTATATTGCATTCCAAAATAATGTTCTAAAATATGTATTTTGTATTAATGAAGAAACCAATCTGAAATCACACAGCAGTGTCAAGTGACAATTTACAACAGTCAAACCTAATTTTAGGACTTCCAGTTTCCAATAGTGTCCTCGCAATCTGAGGGTCGCGGGTTCGAATCCCTGTCCCACCAAACATGCTCGCCCTTTCAGCCGTGGGGGCATTATAATGTGACGGTCAATCCCACTATTCGTTGGTAAAAGAGTAGCCCAAGAGTTGGCGTTGGGTGGTGATGACTAGCTGCCTTCCCTCTAGTCTTACACTGCTAAATTAGGGACGGCTAGCGCAGATAGCCCTCGTGTAGCTTTGCGCGAAATTCAAAAACAAACAAACAAACAAACAATAGTGTCATTTTTCTATTTACATATTCCAGACTTTTACTATTTCTTAAACAAGGATATCGATTTAGAAGCTCTTTCAAATGGATTATAAAATACGTCATGAAAAGGAAGACATTTCTTTTTACTTATAGATAATATATACTAATAGACTGCTTTGCCACAGCTAGTAATAATTATGATGTACAACGTTTGGCTTTACAAATCTGATTTTATAAATATTACATTAATTTTCACTATATTTTCCCATTATATATTTGGTTTGTATAACTACAAGATGAGTCAAAAGGTATACGTTTGAACCTAAGAGACAGTTACAGATAACGTAGTAAAACAAGTCAAAAGTTATTGTTGTTGTTTTCCAGCAAAGCTACACACTGAGCTATCTGCCTTTTTTTTTTCACCGCGGGGAATCGAACCTCACATTTTAGCGTTGTAATTCCGCAAACTTATCGCTTACTCATCGGAGGACCGCTTCAAAAGTACAGCTGTTAGTTGCATAACTTTATAAAAAATATTTATCTTTATTCCCATTATAAGAAGAAACAATGAACATATATTTTAAAAGAAGGCTTAGATGAAGGGTTGCAATTATTTGAAAGTTTCATAGCGAATTTCGTTCATCTTTTTTAAAACATGCTTGTAGACAACGTTTCGTTCTGTTGGAGTAGGTCTTCTTCAGGTGCGCTAACTGATGGAAAAGCAGTCGTTACAGAAAACAAAAAGTACCATAACCGTGAAACACAAACTACACACCTAAATCCCTTTCTTTTATAGTGGACTAACCAGTTCTAATTTCCCCTCCTGGTTTTTGAAATGCTGTTTTCATGATACTCCTTTTTTCTCAGTGTTTATTAACATCTTATACTATTATAACTGTTCGAAAGAATAACAGAGACATCAGGTTGGAGTACTAATTTTAATCTGAAGTTTAAACCGAAACATCATAAAACAATATGTGGATAGTAAATAAGCATTTAACTATATTTATTTTACTTTTTAGGGCGAATTTTCATCTCTACACTTTTAAGCGAGTAATGGAGACCCATCCAGGGTTCCCAGTTGACTCCTCTCCCAGTCGGCTCGTGAAGGCCTCTTTCATAGGGACCATTTAGGTTGGCCTTGTGGCACACAGCAAACCACCAACCTGCTTTATATTTTTCCGCACAGCTCGGTTCTGAATTCTTCAAATCATTATCATGGTCAAAGGTAGAAAAGTTTTTGTGGTTGTGAACATCCATGGCGTCACCTATGAACACAAATTTTTGAAAACGAAAATCATTACCTCATAAGTTTAACAATAAAAGTCCTAACTAATTCATCTGTAGGAATAGATTTGGTCAGTGATGATGGGATTATCAGGCCACAAGTTTTCTCGTTATGATGCACTATTTTGGTTGTATTATAGGAAACGGCGGTAGCCTAACTGCCGTCCTACGCAGATATTACCTCTACCCACAATGGCGTCCCCAAGAAATTGGTGCCATAGGCAGTTGTCTATGTTGCCTATCGGGTCTGTATATTACGAGTGAAATATTTTCGTTCAAATCTGATATTAATTAAATATTCTAGAGTAATGATGTATTTAAAGAAAATATTTTAATCATGATGAATATCGAAAAACACGAGAGCGTCTACTTAATAAAAAATATATTATACAAAGGTATATCTTTAATTATAAATGTGTAATTAAATGAAAATAGTGCAACCTAAATAGCCTATTTGGGCTCGTAATTGTACAGGTGCCTAGTACTCCCATTGTAACTGACCGACCCGCCATCTGCAATTTATATACCGAACTACCAAAAACATTTTAGTTGTAATAAAACGAAACAAACTTCACATCCACTTTAAGATCGAAATATAGGGGGCAATTTATTACGTTTTTGAGAATGTTTTCTTCTAGTTCTGTTAACCATGCCTATGATAATCAGGTAAAAGGGAAGACAGAAATATTTAAATATATATTCATCATGATAAAACTAAACAACAACAACAACAACAAAAATACGTTAAATTAGACACGATTAGTATAATTGTAAAGCATGTAGGATTACAACTGTAGATTAAAATACAATTTAAAATATGGATTTCATTAACTCTTGAGTATATCAAACATGATAGTACCCATTAAAGTTCAAACTGTAAAAAAAAATCAAAAGTAAAATGAACAGAAAATATATCCAAGGATGAGTCAATAATTAAAACAAAAGAATGACAAAAAAAAAGATTTTAGAAGCTTACAATATAGATAAGGGAAAAGAGAAATTGAATCGTCATCAATAGATTAATATACTGGCGAGCAAATTCTGAATGAAATGATGTTTACTTCTTGAAAAATGTATTAATTAAAGTTTTTTATATTGTTTTTTTTCAGAAAATTAGTTTCGTTAATTTAATGAAAACATTTCTTGGAACCTTCAGCAAACCTGATTTCAACGTAAAGTAAAATCACTCTGGTAATAATTTGTTTGTTGTTAAGCATAAAGCTACACAATGAGTTGCCGTGCTATGTTACTCGAATTTTAGCATTAACCACAGAGCCACCGTGTGGGTATTTTGGTAATAACACCAGAAATGAAAAACAAAACAGTTAAAATCAAAATTAAATCCATTGAAATAAATTGTAAAATGCATTTGTTTCTAAACGGTGTTTCAGCTGTTTGATTTAGCTTCTGATATTACTTTTATAATTTTCGAGTAACTAATCGCATTTCGATCAACAACCCAAACTTTCTCAATATTCTTATTCTTCTTCAAACAAAAGTCGTAGACTTAATTTTTTTTCTAGATGTTATAAATTTATATCTAAAGGTTATGCGTTCTGACACAGAGAAACGCCATCCCAGTTACAAGCAAGCATAAATGACTACGGGATCGGACGCGGCATTATAGTTAGCTTGCTAGGCTGCATATTAAAAGGTCCAAGGTTCGAATCACGATGTGCCACTGAAAATGTTCCATGTTTTCAGCTATGAGGGTATTCTAACTTTGGTCAGCAATCCTATATTTTGGTGTCTTGAGGGGTCTCTGTCCTGGTCGTTTAGCCAATGATCAGCATAAGGTTGAAAATATCAAACAAATTGTTATTGAAAACAAACTTTAGGGCACCTGTACCATTACACGATCACGAAATTTCTTGTTTTGTGACAATATACGCAAACAGAAATGTAAAATACACAATACTGTGTACATTAGCTAAATTGACGTAAAAAAATATTTGTTTGTTTGTTGCTAAGCGTAAAGCTACACAATGGGCTATCTATGCTGTACCCACAACGGTTATCGAAACCCGGTTTTTAGCATTATAAATCTTCATACTTAAAGCTGAGCCATCGGGATGAAGGTATTAAAATCGGAAATATAAATAATATAGTACTTCTTCATACAAGAGCCTAGTTCACCCTATGAATAGAAATCAGCCAAAATTATATAAACGAAAAAACGTTGAAAGCTGTGTTACTAAAAGCGTATCGTACGTTAACAGCTCTGAAGATTATACATTAACAGTGCTGAAGGTCGTACGTTAACAGCTCTGAAGATCATACGTTAACAGTGCTGAAGGTCGTACGTTAACAGCTCTGAAGATCATACATTAACAGCTCTGACGATCATACACTAACAGCTCTGAAGGACACTTCAACTTGAACTGTTTCCTGACCACGTGTGTCCTCAAGGGAATTTTACAACCAGGTATCAACCTAGAGGGCACATTTTTTCCCAGAAGACTGTGTACGGCTTAAGAGCACACGTGAAAGTATCGAAACTAGTTTTCTAGTCTTTGTTCTAATATTTCCTTTCAAAAGCGTGGCTTACTTGTTTACGTTAATTTACTTAAGCAGATTGGTACTAAACTCTACATAAAGTGTAAAACTTTTAAACAACCAATGCTGCGTATCTACAGTATCTTTGGACGTAGTTCAACTTAACTTTATCTTCCAATAATGTAATAAATCTTCCCAGCACTTCATTTATAACGAACATGAGTGTAACTATAGTAATTACTGTCAGTAGTTGGACTTTATATCATCTTGTGATGAAAACAACAACAATAACAATGAGAAACATAACCAGTTTATCAAAATTCTCCTTCAACGTGTACACTCAATCTCTAATCTCTCTTCTTGTTTCTTTTCTTTTTTCATCCAACAACTGCTGTAATCTCTCTTCTTGTTTCAGAAAAACAACAACAACAACAAAAATGACCAACAGAAATTAAGACAATCTTACCAGCATTTCCTTCGTAGTTCTCATAACTCATTCGATACATTTCTCTTTCACTCCGAACGAGAAAATTACTATACATAGCATAACGTTTCCCCCCTTCAAAATTCTCTAGGTAGATAACAAGTTCCATGGAATCCTGGTTTGTTAGGGCGAAAATGTTGTCGTTTCCTAAAAAAATATTCGATAAAATTTCATTTTATCAACTATTTGACTTGACGTAAACATTTTCAATCTAAACACTCTACAGGATCAATGATCAAATCAATTATATTTCGAACTAGCTGGAGTACACGTCCTCTGGACGGAAGTTATTTAAATTAATGATTAATGAAAGGTTATTTTAGGACATGAAAAGTTGCTTCCCTTATATGTAATTGTAAAAAAAAAACGCCCATAAAAACTACAAACAACCGAGAACCCGTAAATGTGCATGTATCTAGATCCATCTAGAGGGGACAAAGTAGTGGTAAAAAAAGCGCAAAAACGCCCATAAAAACCGCAAAACGCAAAATTCAAAACTGAAAATTTGTGTTTACCCCCGAATGGACCTAATGAACCTCCATACCAATTTTGGTAAAGATCCATTTAAACCCTGCGAAGTAATTACATGAACATACAACAGTACTATTATATTCATATAGATTTAGCAGATATCTTATTCCAGTCAGGGCCGGCACTGGGGCGCTAGGCGACGTATGCCCTCACACAGGGCGCCCATCCCAATGGCCGCCAAAATCGATATTACAGTTAGCAGCTTGTTAATTTTACAGGATCAAGGGCACCGTATACAAAGTTCGTACGGGTCACAATTCTGCCTAGGGCTTGCTATGATCCTAGTTTAACACCATAAAAAGTAACTGTTGTGTTACAATAAGTTTCATGCAGGAACAACCTACAGGTCTTGTTACTTCATGTTCCAAGTGACGTAAAATCCCGATTTCAGCGATGGCTCTGCTCGATTCAAGAAACACTTAATAGTGGTTTAACAGAGATTAGGACTGTTTACTCCTAGTTTTGAGTAAATCAACTTCGAACACATGGGGGTTTCTAACAGAACTGGAATTAAGCTTCAAACTCCACCTAACTCTTCTATATAATTTCAAAACGAAACGTCATCACACACCGTTTCCCTGGAAAGCTTTTCAATTCTAACTTATGGATGTAATGATCACGAACTGTTGATAAAAGAAAGTCTACATATTATGAATGAAAATCCAAGCTTCAATAGAAACTCAAACTCGTTTTCCCTTGCTTTATTCAAATAACTCTTTTTAAAAAAAAATGAATGTCTTATAATTTCCTAACACTTTTCATTGCATTTTTATGTTATTAATTATACTAAAGGTTGTTCCGTTTGTTATTATCATAGATTTGCTGATGGAATATGAGTAATTCCGAAATGTTCTTTAAGGATTTTTACAACTGTTGCCATGGTTCTACTATTCATTATCTGAATCTGAGTTATTGGAGCAACAAGACAGTTGGCACCGATAATTGTCGGCTAACAAGGAACCAAGACAGACATTTCTAGTAACCCTAGTTTCACTAATTCTCCAAAACAAAGCCTACGAGGTCCAGTTAAGTTAAAGCTTTATAATTGTATTACAATTACCCTGGTAAAGAATAAGCTTTCAATTTCCAGCACTAGTGCTCTCTGTCAATTTTTCTACATGATAAATAGCTCAAAACTTTGCACGAAGGTTAGCTATATTAACTGAAAAGCGTATCTTAAACCAGATGTAACTTGATGTGAATTTTGATTCTCTGCCAACTGAGTTTTGCCACGTAATGTTTTTTTTTTTTGAGATGGAGAGTCAAGCATTAAGTAATAGCTGAATTTGATGACTTGAAACGTTCTCAACTTCCTAAGTTGGATATATATTTTTTTCAGTGAAAAGTTCTAACCTCTTCAAAAGATGTTAAAATGCTGTATAATTGTAACTCCTCTTAAACTCTAAGTTCAGTTAATTTTTTCGAGAAGGAAAATGTTAGATTTCATGTACCTCTTTAAGGATAAGGAAGAGACATTTAGATTAAAACGATATGATAATGATATATAAGCTTTTATTGCTTGGCCTAAGGACTTATCTTTAGATAGAATTATTACACAGTTAAGTAAACCCAGTACTGAAGTTTTAAAAAAGAAAAAAAAAACGCTTTGCTCTGGTTGAAATATCGACCTTTTCTCTGCGCTTAGAAATCTTTATGAATGAAACCACAGAATTACAATAATTTATTTGTTTCCAAAGTTTTGTTTGTTTGTTTGTAGTTAAGCACAAAGCTACACAATGGGCTATCTGTGCTCTGCCCACCACGGGTATCGAATCCTGGTTTCTAGCGTGATAAGTCCGCAGACATACCGCTGTGCCACTGGGCTGAATAAATAACTAGCATCCTTCTGTACAGTGACGACTGGCTTGATTTTTGTCAACAAATACGCGAAAGCTAAATAATAGCATAACATGTATTGAGAAGAAACTATCTGAAAATTTGTTATAGCCAAAACATTTTTCAAGCTATGTTTTCTCCAACTTCATTCATATCTTATGCTTGTTTTTCGACACATTTTTCTCCAAAAAATAAACCCAAGTTTCACTCCCAGTGGTAAAAAGTAAAGTTTTATTCCCCTTTTTTTTTCATGGGGAGAGGGGGGTTTCGTTACAGAACACAAGGGAATCGTAGTAAATAATGTAACACGACCAGATTTATAGCTATGAATATTTTTACTTTTCACGATGTTACACACTCACATAATAGTTTGATTTTTTTTTGTGGCACAAACAGATCTTTTGTGACATTTTCATTTCACAACTAATGTATGTAAACTAACCAAGAAAAAGGCGTGGATATTCTTAACCTATCTGTATCATATAACATTATTTGTTTGTTTATTTACGTTAGAGCAAAGCCACGTTGGGCTATCTGCTGTGTCCACCGCGAGGAATCGAACCCCGGATTTTGGTGTTGTAAAGTAACTAGGCTTACCGTTGTCCCACCGGGGACTATTACAATTTTAAACCTGCATCTTAGAAAATCGCTCTACATTACTGACTGTATAACTTTGATAACACTGTACTAACAACTGTATCAAAAGGATGGTTCTTGGGTATCTGTAAATGAGTAAAATCCCCAAGCTTAAAATAAAATGACATTAAAGTTTTTTGGTGTATTTTTGTTTACACAAATAAAAAGGTTCTCGCCTTCAACTCTTCTCCCGACGAATTCAGGATATTGACACAACAGGTAAAATTCTTCTCACCGTTGTATAAATATCTTTAAAACATTATACCAAGTCCAATAAAAATTGTACAGATTTTTTTGTCTTGTATCTGAGACATTGCAACTCCTGTTTTTCTGTTGAACTTGTTTCTAACGACTGAAAACGCTCCTAAAATTAATTCTAAATCAGTTTTTAACCCAGTCGAGAATAGCAAACGTAATCTTTTTTTCCCCTTTCTCTTGACGTTTAACTCAGGCCTTTTACCTCAATCACGTGTCTTGGTATTGATTACAATCAAATACTACTTAACTGGGGCCTCAACTGAAAAAAACGAAAAGAACAACAACTGTATAATAAACTCTTAGATGGGGTCAGCAACTTTAAGTTTTTTACCCTCAACTATGCGACTTGTTTTCTAAGAAAAAAAAAGTCTCAAGATAAGTTTAACTTTCATCAGATAAATTTCTGGAATGACAACTTAATTGACTTATTATCTTGTCATCTTCTAAGCCCTAAAGGAAAATAACGTATTTTGATGTAAAACCTGTTAAGATAACAAATGTTAAACGTATCAATCGATTTTCAACAAAAACTTGCTTTCCTGTAGGAGGGCAGAACATACAAGTCTAATAACAATTATTAAGATGTCTTAACATCTTGAAAACACAGTGTTCCATCCATCTATCTATCTATATAAAAAGACAGGTCAAAGGACTGAATAGGACAGTAGGAAGTTCGTAAGGAAACGAATTTAAGAAAATACAAAACGTGATTTATAGAATGGACGAGGATTGAAGAGGAAATAAGGATTTTATTAATCTTACTGGACCAGCACTCCCAAAACTACTACCGTCCTGATTTTCCTGGTTATTTGTTGAAATGAAACAAGCACTGTTCAATACAAGAAAAAAAAAATCGGTAGTTTGGAATACTAAATAAAATACATTATAAATAAAAATTATTATAGGGGGCTCTTTAGGTTCTTGAAAAATTGCATTTTTAAGATTTAAGACGTCACAAAATCGATTTCAAGGTAGGCATCCAAATACAACAAACTACTATAACATTAAAAAAAGGTTAGTTTACCAAGCCAGAACTCTTCAGAAATATTTCCGAAACCTTGCTTGTAATCGTTCCAAGGCTTGTAGAACAGAAGAGGATCGTTTCCATAATCACCTCTCCTCTGTATCACCTAGGCACGGATATGTAGAATAATTAAAAACTGAAAAACAACAACGACAATTAAATAGCGTCTTTGGTGATTTTTTTAATGTATTTTATAATTGCACAGAATGCACAAAGTAAAGAAAAACATTCATGAAAAACTGAAATAAGTGCAACATCTATTTGGAAACTATAGTATTTGTTTTTTTAATTATGCACAAAGCTACACAAGGGCTATCTGTGCTCT